ACAGTACCTCCCTTCCAGTGGGGGTTAGCCAGATGAGCGATTGGAGATAAATTCTGCCCTCCGATTAAGGCGTTGTTGGAGAAGGGGGGGGTTGGGGTTTGCTGCATACACCGTAGTCTCTGACTGAATACGGAGTAATCTCTCTCAAAAACCAACTTTTCAATGCAAAAAACGCTGTAACATGACATCACAGTGGCATTGTCCTAGCAATTTGCTCCATCTACACATGATCTCTCGTATGTAATATACTGTAGCTAACTCCTCTGATCTCTCTATTTATTTCTCTATTATTATAGAAAAACCAACTTTTCCATGCAAAAAACGCTGTAACATGACATCACATGCATCTCATCAAAAATATTTGAATGCTCCAGCTCATACAGCTCAGATCAATCTTCATTTTGATCTCTGGGTTCATGATATGGGCTGCTAAATACTCTGTAACATGATCTTATATGATGTCATGTGCATCTCTTTGAATTCATGAATGAGATTGAACAGTCAGCTCTGCAGCCTGTACAGCTCTGATTAATCTGATAATGGTGATAGGGGTGATACGGGGTGGAAGAGGGGGGTAGAGGTAGAGAGTGGAAGTGGTAGGTAGGTAGGTTTGATGCTTGTCTCTCTATATATTATAGAAAAACCAACTTTTCCGAGTAAAATGCCCTGTAACGTGACCTCACATGATATCACGTGCACCCCATCAAATCTGGGCATCCATCACTCTTACGACCCCTACCACCCCTACCACCCCTACCACCTCTATCACCTCTACCACTTCTACCACCTCTACCACCTCTATCACCACTGCCTCTACCACCCCACAGCCCCCCCTATCACTTCCACTCCATATCTCTACCCTACCCCCATCTTACCACTCACTCTCTTACCACCTCTATCGCCTCTACCACCTCTACCACCACCACTGCCTCTACCACCTCGCAGCACTCTCTATCACTTTCACTCTCTATCTCTACTCTCATCTTACCATTCTACCCCTCTCTTACCATTACTATCACCTCTTCCATTTCTACCACCTCTATCACCTCTCTCTATCACCTTTTCCACTCTCTAGCCTCTCTATCATCATCATTATCTCTACTACTCTACAGTCTCTTCTATCACTTTCACTATCTCTACTTCTCTCTTACTATCTCTATCATATTTTGATCTCTGTATTTATAGTATATACTGCTAAATACTCTGTAATAAAATCTCATGTGATGTCATATACATCTCTTTGAATTCATGAATAAGATTGAATAGCTGACTCTGCAGTCTGTACAGCTCTGATTAATCTGATAATAGTGATAGAGATGATACAGAGTGAAAGAGAGTAGTAGAAGGAGTAGAGATGATGATAATGATGATGATGAGAGGGTAGAGAGTGAAAGAGGTGAAAAGAGTGGT